GCTAAAAAATGAGAGTGGCTTGTTGTTCTGCAAAAGGACAGCTCCTATGTCACTGTTTGATGCATCAGTTTCCACAACAAACTGCTCAGAGAAATTTGGAAGAACTAAGACAGGAGTGGAAGTCATAACCTCCTTGAGCCTACAAAAAGCTCTTGCTGCCTCTTCTGTCCAACTGAAGTATTTCGAGCCTTTCAATAATTCAGTTAAAGGTAATGCTAATGATGCATATCCTTTAACAAATCTACGGTAGTAGCCAATTAGGCCTAAGAAGCCACGAAGTTGTTTAAGAGATCTTGGTGCTGGCCATTGAGTCATTGCTTGTATCTTCTTTGGATCTGCAAACACTCCTTCTTTAGAAACCATATGGCCCAAATATTCAATGGTATCAACCCCAAATGCACATTTGCTAATCTTCACAAAAAATTTATGTTGTTGCAAACATGATAAGGTGGTACTCAAGTGCTGGACATGGTCTTCAATTATTTTGCTAAAAATTAAAATGTCATCAAAAAAGACAATGATGAATCTTCTAAGGAAAGGCTTGAAAATATGATTCATTGCTGACTGAAATGTGGCTGGTGTATTTGTCAAGCCAAATGGCATAACTAGGAACTCATAATGACCTTCATGAGTCCTAAATGCAGTCTTTGGCACATCATCTGGTAACATCCTTATCTGGTGATATCTAGCTCTAAGGTCCAGCTTAGTGTAAATCATATAACCTCCCAATTCATCAAGCAACTCATCTATGGTGGGGATAGGGAACATGTCCTTTATAGTAGCAGCATTTAAGGACCTATAATCAATGCACATCCTCCACGTGTTGTCCTGTTTTCTGACTAAGAGAAATGATGATGAATATGGGCTTTGGGAATGCTGGATGAACCCAAATTTCAACAAATCAGCCACTTGTTTCTCAATTTCTGACTTTTGGAAGTATGCATATCGATATGGTTTGACATTTATAGGCTTGGTACCTTCTAGTAGATGGATGAAGTGGTCTAACCCACGAAATGGAGGAAATTCAGATGGAATCGTGAACACCTTTTGATGATTTAAAATTACTTGCCACAACTCTGGTCTAATGGAGGATTCCAATGCTGATATCTCTAAATTGGGTGAGCTTTTGGTAGGTTGTCCAGACAACAAATGCATTGAACAACAAGTAGCACAAGTTTTGTGAGCCTGTGCTTTGTAGGAAGATGAAGCCTGACAAAACTTGCAGCAAGACATTGTTCCCCTCCCAACAAATTTCCATAGTCATATTATTGTAATCATGAGTGACTCTACCCAGAAGCTCCAGCCATGGCATTCCCAAGACAACATGTAAATCAGATAACTCAATTAACCAAAAATCAACATCGAAAAGAACATCTTGCAATTAAATAGGAACTTGTAAACATTTATGGTCAGCCAGAAGGAACTCACCGTTACCAAGGAACACACATAGTTTCCGGGTGCGAACCATTGGCAATTCCAACTGCATTGCTAATTGCTTATGCATAAAATTTTGTGTGCTTTCTGAATCCACCAATACAGAGATAACACTGCCCTTCAAGGAAGTGACCAATTTGAGTGAATGTTGATGCTCATCAATTGATGATGTGTTAAGGGCTGCATCCGTAGGTTCAAACACAACCTGATCAGACTGCCAAATTAATTGGTCTTCATGATCAGCCTCTTGATCCTCGGCTTCCTCAGTTATGAGCATCATGAACTTATTCTTGCAATTATGTTTGCTTGTCCATTTCTCATCGCATGTATAGCAAATTCCCAAGTCACGTTTCTTTTGTAAATCAACATGTGAAAATCGTTTAAAATTTGACGGTGGTGGTAAGGCTAAGGTTTGGTTGTGGGTCAATACTGGGTTTGAAGTCTGCTTGGGGGTAATTTCAGTAGGGGAAGTGTTTCTGGGTATAAACTTTCGTGAAGAAGTAAAGAAGGAAGATCTAAGCTCACAGTGATGATCATCATAGGCTAACGCCAATGCCTGATGGAGAGTAGTTGGGTCCCTTAATTGAACCACACTTACTAATTCTGCTTGAAGTCCAAAAACGAAGAAATCTTTGAGAAGACCATCATCAAGATCTGGAACTTGATTGACCAGAGACTCAAAACGTTGGATGTAATCTTTGAGGGTTGATGTCTGCGTCAATTTTGACAGCGTGCCTTTAAGATTAACAAATGCTGAAGACCCAAAGCGCTGACGCAATGCCATCGTGAATGAGCTCCATGTACCAATGGTGCCACTCTTGAACATCCATTGAAACCACGCTGCTGCCATCCCCTCCATGCGAATCCCAGCAAAGGAAACCTTCGAATCTTCTGGAATATGTTGAAGACGGAAGAAAAGTTCAGCTTTAAAGATCCAATTGTTTGGACCTGTGCCATTGAAAATTGGGATTTTCATTCGCACACCCTTGAGAAGTGTACGCTAATCCAATACATCATTGTTTCGAGGACCTTGATCTGACGAAGAGGTTTCCGGATGGACATGAGAATGGGAACTTGGAGTTCCTCTGCCATGCATTGGTCGCGATAGAAATGCCTCTTGCAATTGTTGCATTTGTGTCACCAACAACGACATCTGATTCTTTGTATCGGAAGCTAACAAGGAGATCTGGTTTCTTGTGTCCGTCGCTTGAAGACGAATTTCCTCCAAATTTGTGTCAACTCGTTGCTGGAACGAATTCAACTCTTCCGATAAATCTTAGATCCGCATCGTGTTCATCAACGATTTTCTGGAGAGGAGAAAAAATGTGGAGAATTCAAGGATGAAAGCACCACTGTTTGGGTGTGACCCCTAATCTGATAAAGGGAGAACAAAAAAAGAAGAACCTCGTGACAATTTTATTTCCAAAGAGTTAAGAACAACTGAATTCGTTACATCAACTATTTATACAACACGTCAATGGACAAGTGTCAGTAAATCTATCCACTACTTCTAATACACAACTACCACAGTTTATGGGCTTTCTAATACAATATATGCTAATACTCCTAAGCTACAAAATCCTTCGACCGAATAGAGTTCCTTCTCTGTCTTCCAGACTTCCTTAATGTAACAATGCTCCCATATACTAAACATGAAATATAGAAACGCGGGACCACAGCCCATTATTTGAAAAGAAAAGGAATGAGGACTTGAGAATTGGAGATTTGTTGAACATCCCTTACTTGCTCCGTCCAAATCCTTGTGGAGTTAACGGCCACAAAGATAAAATTGTAAGATTCAAAAATATGACATAAATGCATATTCATCCATTAAAAGCATACAAGTACTCAAAACAAGTTCATTTATTCCAAGGACCTGATCGTCACGTTTATGTCTTGAATTTCTCTTTCACTGTTCAGGTCTGTGTGTCTGTTCCTACATAATTTACTGCGTGCATTAATTGCTTTTTAAGTTTTTGAATTGAATACAACATTGTATTGCCACAACTCTTGGTCTCTGCATCTTTAATACAATTTGTGTGTATATTTGTATAGGGATAAATTATACTTATCATTTTTTTTTTCTTATTACCTATTGCTACCAATTTTGTTATTGTTAGATTAAAATTAAATTAATGCTCTCACTTGATATCATTTTATAATCGTTAATTTGATTTTGATCCAATAATAACAAGATTGGTAGTAAAAGATGTAAGAAAAAAAAGTTGGTAAATATAACTTATCCCATTTATATAAAAGTTTGCTTTTTCTCCAGTTACAATATATACTTATTTGCAGTAAGTCCAATACGACTTCGTTTTTTGGGACGGAAATCATGGTGTTTTTATAATTTTGATTTATTTTAGGGTTATTATAGTCTTTATAATTATAAGTTTTTAATATTTCAATCCCAAAACGATGTCGTTTTGAAAGTAAATGCAGATAACTTATTTACAGTAACTGCAGAAATATTTTTCTGTTTATATAATCTTTAAACTTAAGAGAAAAATAAGTATGAATAAAATTACTGAATAAAATATTTTTTTTTTAAAATATTCTAACTAAAACCCCAAGGGGTGACATACATTATAACGGGATGTGCCTCGAGGATGGATTGCAAATTTCATATACTTGAAAAGACTCTTTAGCGTTAGAGGCGAAATATTTTGCATTCTAAATTTTGTGATAGATTGTCTCACCTTATTTCCGGTTTAATATATTCTTTTTTTTTTTTTTTTTAATAGGTTTAATATATTCTTTGTTCCTATGATGAACTAACTTTAGAGTAGTACTCATGTGGCAAGGTGGTTGAGTTGGAATACCTTCTGGGTTTAGAAAAAAGATTGTGTGATGATGAGTACTTCAGTCTCTTTTAATGCAAAGGTCATCTAAGTATTACAAATAATGACAATAATAAAATCTTACTAATTGCTTTTCAAAAAAATAAAATAAAATCTTACTAATTGAATATAAGATATCATAATTCAAAATACCAGTTCAAAATAAAATCTGAATTTTCTGGTTATATATGTAGATTTATAAGTCTTTTTAGCGCCTTCGAATTTCAATTGTCAAATATGTTTCAATTAATGCCATCATTCAAGCAACTTTTCCTGCTGCTCCTCCCCTTGTTACTTCCCTTTCCTCTGATAGGTGAAACTATGTGAGTGTAGCAGCTGACTTTCCAATCTGTTTGGTCTAAACCTATGTTACAGTACATGTATCAAAAGGCTAGTTATTATTCGAATTCATAAATGTCCTCTTCATTTATAGTTTATGATGACAATAATAATAATAATTCTATTTTTGTTCTGAGGACTCACCAAAACTTGTGAAATCTTTAAAAGAAGGTCGTGCATCATGTGAAATGCTTTAGATGTCTCATTGCACATTTAATAGGACCCTTTTGAATCTTCATGTATATAATATCCTACAAGGTCATCCACAAATTATACTCCTCCCCAAACAACACCTCCATCTTCATGCTTTTTGCTCACTAGCTTGCATTTCCTCCACTAATGAAAACTGATTTCAAGTTACTTGAGTTTGCATAGTTGATGCAAAATATGAGCACTTTCTCGCTTGGAACCCAAAAATCTTTCCTAATTGTGATTTTCTTCATGGTTGTTTCTATTGGTTGGAGCCTAAGGATGACCCCTAATCATGGTAAGTGATATGTACTATAATGTTGTTTAACTGTACATAATAACTCCATGCATATATATACGTGTCTTAACATTAAGTTTAAATGTATTCAAGTCAATTTCATATAACCACTATTGTACATTAGTTTTCGTATTCTAAATCATAAGATACTAAAATCAGAACAATTTTTCAAGCAAGATTAATGGTATTGCATCCTCCTTCTGTTAATTTCACTAGCACACTCCAAATGAGGTTTGAAATAGAAATTTCAACTTGGAATATCCAATATTATTATCTCTTGAACATACATACTCTGATGTCGTTGGTTAAAAGGGTTTTGTTGCTGAGTATTTTTTTAAGTGTTTTTTTCTTCCCCGGTTTTTCAGTTAAGTTGATCAGCTTGCAAGAAGAGAAAGCAGAAATTAGAGATAAAAAGGTTTGATAGTTTTTTTCATTATTGCATGGTAACACATTTGTGATTGATTGATCATTTTGCCCTCTTGTAAAATCAATTTACTATTTTGCCCCATTCCTGTTCCTGTTTGACTGACATTATTTGACCAATATGTTCGTTTATTCGATTATGTGTTGGTAAAACATTGATCAAATAAGGATAAATATATAATTAAAAAAATAATATATATTTTAAGAGAGGGGCAAAATAGTAATTTCATTTTAAAATAAGGACAAAATAATCCCTCAAACCTATTTGTCTGTGGATCAATGAAGTGAATAATTAATAGTTGTGTACCTACTTGTGATTTTTAAGGAAGTATCAACAAAGGAAGACAACATGGGAATGGAACTCTACCCAACTGGCTCCACCATACCAGATTGTTCCCATGCATGTGGACCATGTTCTCCCTGCAAGAGGGTGATGGTGGGTTTCAGCAAGTGCTCCGTTGCAGAGTCTTGCCCTATAATTTACAGATGCATTTGTAAAGGGAAATACTACCATGTACCCTCCAATTGATGGAGATAATTTTTTTCACTAAGTCTAGGATCATTGTTGTAATTCTGAACAATATGATGTGGGTTGGACACTTTTATCATTTTAAATTGGAGCTAAGAGCAAAAAAAAAAATCATTACTCTGACTTTTGTTGCTTGCTTGTGCATTTAACTTGACCCTCTCTTGTGTATTATTGCATTCCTAAAAATATATTTTTCTTTATTTTTAATTTGGGGACTTTACAAATTGTGTTTCACAAAGCAATGTTATTTTGTCTGTTTCAAAAAAGTGCAGCGCGATCCTAAACTTTCTTATGGGTGTATTTTTTTTGTTCTTTTTTCTTTAATTTTCCATCAAATTGTCATGCTCAAATTATGTGACAATTATTTGTACCAAATATATTAATGCAAATGTCTAATAATGTGCATTTTGATTTAAAAGAGAGAACAATAATTTATCTTTAATTCATACCAAATAAAAGAGAGAAATTAAAAAATATTCTATTTCTTTAATTCTCATTTCAATTCCTATTTTCATTTTCATTTCTCAAATCATTTCATATTTCCATGTAACCAAACAATGAGAAATTGAAGCTAATATCGATTCAGTTTGCTATTGATGGATACCTAACTTATTAGACAAGCCCGTTATGAATGCTTTTAGGCCACCTTAAGTGCTATCAAACCACGTGTTATTACGGATTCCTTGAACTCTTGCCAGTTATTATGATAACATTGTTCCGGATTTAATATATGTTTAGGAATTTCTTATAAATTATAAATAATAAATAAATATGTTAGAGTTTGAGAACAGCCTAACCTGTATCAGGATATAGAAGTATAACAAGCTGCTAGCAAATTCAAGCTTATAGGCATCCAGTTTGTTAGTGGTGGAGGCCTAACAATTGTTAGACTTACTCTAACCCATTACGAATGCTCCTCAGCCACCTTGAGTCACAGCCAAATAAACCACTTGTTGAAATGGATTCTTAGACCTTTAATGAATTTTTGTATGACTTTCTTTTTATGTTTATAAATTTATTAAATATATGTCAACTCAAAACTTGGAAACCTATTGTTTGGACTATTGGCACTAATTGTGCACGATTTTTTATTTGTGTCATATATGATGTATCACTTTTTTTTTCTCTCAAAAAATTATCCTTTTAATTAATCAAAGTTACAACAAAATACTTTCAATCCATGGATTCTAGCTTATATAACACAATATAATTGTTCTGGACCAGTTTTAGGACCCAATATTATGGGGAGGTCACTAGACCCAATAATCCGGGCAGAACTCCTATACGAGGGAGATCTTATAATATATAACAAAATGTACTTATTTTATTTTATCTTTTTAGAGATATTCCAATCAGTTCATCGCTTCACGATTAGTCTAATTCGAGACGGGTCCCGGGATTATGTTGGGTATGGCTCATATTTCGCATGCTGATGAGGGTCCTTATTGTCGGGGTCAACAGAAAGGCAACTGAAATCTCGCTCTCAAATGAGCAGGCGGGGGTTCAGAAGACAGCGCCCCAGGCCTGTAGAGGCTAAGTATTGTTTCGGGCCTCTAATTTATTGTAATTTTTCTTTTTCTTAGTAGTTTGGATTTGGTTCCATGAATAGCTGTTGTTAAGGTTTTCTAATTGATAAACCATTGGTTTACCATGTTTTTAGGCTAAAATATACAACGATTACATAGTGAATTGCATGAAAATTAGGGTTTTATCATATAAAATCATGGAGATTGGATTTTGCCTAACATGTGGTAATCTTGCTTATTTCAAAGGTGTTTTTGACATAAAATGGCGCTTTGAGGAGCAAAGGAATGAAAAGAGACGCTGCAATACCAAAAAAAGCAAGATTCAGTGCAAATCAATGGCTGAGGAATAGCGTTTTAGCGCCCAACAGCGCGTTAAAATGCTCCAATGAAGAAAAAGAGAAAAATTCCACTGGAGGAGCGCATTTTAGCGTGCTATAGAGCGCTAAAACGCGCTGACAGCCACAATTTCCTCACGAAGAGGGCGTTTTAGCGCTCTCCTGAGCGTTAAAATGCCCTAAGGCAGACAGAAATATGCAAAGAGAGCGTTTTAGCGTGCTAATGGGCGCTAAAACGTGCTGATGTGATCAAATTCAGGCCCATGGTAGATATTGTATCTTAATCAAGATGTGAACAAGATTTCATAGAGATTAAAAGAGAAATTAAAAAGATATATTCTCCTCTATAAATAGAGGGCCTTTGGACCAATTGAATGCATTCAACAACAGAGAGGCGTTTGAAGAAGCACAAGGAGGAATCTTGTTGTGGAATGTGAGAACTCTGAGGAGTCAAGACGACATCACATCAACGGAGTCTTGGGAAATTATTTTCTTTTCTATTACTTTTGAATTCAGTATGCTAGGCTAGACTTTTATCTAGTTAGGGTAAATAGAACTCAATTGAATCTTATGTTTTAAATTAAATTATCTCTGAATTCTTTTCTTTTTATACTTGAATAAATTTATCCGCCTTTAACGCTTTCTATGAGTTTGCTCCTTATAGATTGATTTAGGGGAATTGTAGGACAATAGGGATGTTGGTGCATGAACCCTGATTTGGTAAATTTATCACAATCCTTGTGATCTAGGGATATACATAGGGTAATTGTGCAATCGTGAATTTTTGATCTTAATGCATGTTTTCTTGGGGAATAATCAGGGAACTAGGGTCTTCTAAGATCACATAGATTTAGGGTAACAAGGAATTGAGCCCTAATTAACTTAGAAAGAATTGATTGGCAATATTTTAAGAATAAATTCTTGACAGTTTAATTCATAGCATAAAGAGGACATTAGGGGAAGTCAAAACCCTAACTATGCTTGTTTTTTTAATCTTTAAATCAATAATCTTTTTAATTGCTTTTAATTCTGAAATTGCATGTTATTGATTTTTTTTAATTTCAATTCTTTTCATCTTAAATTCGATTGTCCAACTAAATCGTTGTTAGCGAACTAGTGCTTGAAAACCAATCCTCGTGGAAACGATCTCAAATTAGTACACTTTATTACTTTTACGGCCGGTGCACTTGCCGAGTCGCAACAAGTTTTTGGCGCCGTTGCTGGGGATTGGATCCTTCAACATTAGAAGTAACTAAAAACAGTTTAGATTGGACGTTTTAAATTTCTACAATTTAAATTATGCATTAACTTTTTCTTCTTTTCTGCATATTTTTTTCTATTTAAATTTTCTATTTTCTGCATTATAATTTTTCCGTTTTTCTGCATAATGCTGCGTTTTCTGCTTTTGCTTAATCTCTTATCCCTAGTTTATGCGAGGTACTGTTAAACCACGACTCTTGCAGTTTGATCCTGAGATAGAGAGGACAACTAGAAGGCTCAGAAAAATCACAAAAGAGAAAAAGGAAAAAGAAGCATCAAGCTCGACGGAACCAAAGGAAGAAACTATGGTGGACAACAACGCACTTTAGAATCCTCCAAGAACCCTGGGAGATTACGTGGCAAGCATTGTTAGACCAAACGTGGATGCTAACAATGTTGAGCTCAAGCCAGCACTGCTGCAACTGATACAAAAAAGATCAGTTCGCTGGAGGAAGCACGGAAGACCCCTACATTCATCTCGAGAATTTTCTGCTCTATTGTGACACATTAAAGATGAATGGAGTCTCATGTGACATTATCTTGCTCAGACTGTTTCCATGCTCACTGAAGGAAGAAGCAAGAGGGTGACTGCAGTCACTGCCTCAAGGAAGCATCACCAACTGGGATGACTTGGCTACCAAGTTCTTGGCCAGATTCTTTTCCTCTTCAAAGATGGAAAAGCTTGAGGCAGACATCTCCTCTTTTGAACAAAAAGAAAGTGAATCCTTGTACGAGGCATGGAAATGTCCAAAGGATTACTCCGAAAGTGTCCCCAACATGGCTTTGAAGCTTGGGAAAAAGGACGGATTTTCTTCCAAGGAATGACGCCCAATACAAGAACCTTGGTGAATGCTGCATCAGGAGGATCATTGAAAACAAAAACTCCAGAGGAAGTGTTGCAATTGCTGGAATCTCTAGCCTCTCAGGAGTTTGATAATGCTCCAACACCACATAGGAGAGCATGAACCATGAAGCTTGACGGCTATGATGCACTGTTAGCACAGAACGAGCAAATATTACAAATTAATAAGAGACAACAAGCACAACTAGATTCTCTCACAAAGCAATTTTCTAGTTCTTAAGTCTCTTCAATTAATAATCTTCAAGTTATTTGTGAGATATGTGCAAGTGCTCATGCTACTAAAGACTACAATTTTATGAAGGCGCCTGAGAATGCTGAAGTCAACGGAATCTGGTACGATCAAAAGAACCAGAATAATTCGGGGAGGAACCAATATGGAAATAACTATAATCAAGGGTGGAAAAATCAAAATCAACACCCAGGGTTAAGTTACAAATCAAATCATCAGTTGAATCCTCCACAAGTGCAACAACAGCCCCCACCACAAGGTAACACCTCAGAATGGGAGAAATCTTTTGCACAGCTGTCCAAGATCACTTCAGATTATATTCAAAATGCAAATGCCTTCAGGGAAGACACCTTGACTTTTATGCATGACACAAGAGCTTCATTCCGGAACCAAGAAGCTTATATCTGAAATCTAGAAACTCAGATTGGCCAGCTATCAAGACAGTCCACTGAAAGAACCCAGGGTACCTTCCCAAGTGACACTCTCACTAACCCAAAAGCATAATGTAAGGCTATTACTACCAGAAGTGGGATCGTGATTCAACCTGTGGAAAAGCCTTCAGTGGAGAAGAAGAAAGATGAAGAACCTGCAGCTGAAGAGGAGAAAGAGAAAGATGCGAGAGAATCTGAAAAGAGCAGTCCAGAAAAGAAGCTGTTTAAATGGGAGAAAAAGAAAGCTCTAGACAGGCAAGCAAAACCTGTGGATCCATCTCCCTGTGCTCGAGTTGCATACCCTCAGAGGCTGAAACAAGAGATCCAGAAACAACAATATACAATTTCTAGAGATCTTCAAGAAGTTGCAAGTGCATATTCCCTTCGCAGAAGCTCTGGAAAGCATGCCGAACTATGCAAAATTCATAAAAGACTTTCTGTCTAGAAAGTGCAAGTTGAAGGAGTGCGAAACATTAGCGTTAACTGAAGAATGCAATGCGATCATCCAGAAGAAACTTTCTCCCAAGTTGAAAGATCCAGGCAGCTTTAGTATTTCTATAGCAATTGGGAATATTGAAGTAGGAAAGGCACTATGCGATCTGGGAGCGAGTATAAATCTAATGCCATTCTCCATGTATAAAGCTCTTGGGATCAGAGAGCTGAAACCAACTACAGTTTCTCTCCAACTAGCTGACAGATCGATCAGACGACCAGACGGGGTTATTGAGGATGTTTTGGTTAAAATTGACAAATTTATTTTTCCTGCAGATTTTGTAATCCTAAACATGGAAGAAGATGCTGAAATTCCTCTACTGCTTGGGAGGCCCTTCCTAGCTACAACAAGAGCAATGATCGATGTGGAGCAAGGGAAGCTAATGTTGAGGATGAATGAAGAGACAGTCACCATTGACGTCTTTGAGTCGATGAAGCATCCATCTAATGGAGGAGACTGTTTCACGGTGGAAATTATTCAAGAAGTAGTTGATGACACAATGAAATAGGAGAGTTTCCCACTTGAGTAGAGCAAATCAATGAAGAAGCTGAACTTGTTGATAAAGAAGAAGAACCATTGGTTGAAGAATTAAAGAAAAAGAAAGACGACATCCCTCTTGGAGCACCAAAGGTGGAGCTTAAGGAGTTACCTCCAAATCTGAAATATGTTTTCCTTGGTGACAACAACACTTATCCTGTCATCATCAACGTAGATTTGACAACCATGGAAGAAGAAAAGCTTCTCAAGGTGTTAAAGAAACACAAGGCTACTATTGGATGGTCTTTCTCCGACTTAAAAGGTATAAATCCTTCCTTTTGTACTCATAAAATTCATATGGAAGATGATATTAAACCTGCTAGGCAGCCACAAAGGAGACTCAATCCAACCATGAAAAAGGTTGTGAGAAAAGAGGTAGTAAAACTGTTAGATGCATGAATGATCTATCCTATATTTGATAGTGCGTGGATAAGTCCATTACAAACTGTACCTAAGAAAGGTGGAGTCACCGTGGTAAGAAACGAAAATAATGAGCTGATTCCAACAAGGACAGTCATCGGGTGGAGGAAGTGTGTTGATTATAAAAGACTTAATGTAGCTACTCGGAAGGACCACTTTCCTATTCCTTTCTTGGACCAGATGTTGGAGAGACTAACTGGCCATACCTTCTACTGCTTCCTAGATGGATACTCTAGTTACAACCAAATAGCAGTAACTCCAGAAGATCGAGATAAGACAACATTCACATGCCCTTACGGAGCTACCGGAGGATGCCCTTCGGTCTATGCAACACTCCGGCGACCTTTCAAAGGTGTATGCTTTCTATCTTTTCTAATATGATTGAAAAATATATTGAGATCTTCATGGATGATTTTTCTGTTTTTGGCCCCTCTTTTGACACTTGTTTAGAAAATCTGTCATGTGTTTTACAAAGATGTCAAAAGAGTAACCTCTCCAGGATCCAAGAAAAAGATCTTCAAGATGGACCTAAATTGAAGATTCGAGAAGAATTTTCCGATGAGAAAATCTTATCCATCAGTGTTATCTCGGATCTGCAAACCGAGAAAGTGCTGAATACTAGAACACCTCCATGGTTCGCAGATTTCGCGAACTTTAAGGCAGCAGGAGAAATTCCAGTAGACTTTACATGGCAACAAAGAAAGAAGTTTCTGCATGATGTCAAGAAATACTTGTGGGATGAAATGTTCCTTTTCTACAGATGCTCCGATGGAGTAATAAGACGGTGCATTCTGGAAGAAGAGATGAAAGACATCTTGTGGCACTCTCATGATTCAAGCTACGGTGGATATTTTGCGGGAGAAAGAACAGCCGCAAAGGTATTAATGAGTGACTTCTACTGGCCAACACTCTACAAGGATGCAAGGAAGTTTGTGGAAACATGTGATAGATGTCAAAGAATAGGGAATATATCAAGAAGACATGAAATGCCTCTAAACAACATATTGGAGGTAGAAATCTTTGTTGTGTGGGGGATTGATTTCATGGGACCTTTTCCCCCATCTTATGGCAACAAATACATCCTTGTCGCAGTGGATTATGTATCCAAGTGGATAGAGGTTCTTGTTCTTCCTACTAATGATTCTCAGGTAGTCATTGTTTTCCTCAAAAAGAATATCTTTGTCAGGTACGGGGTACAACGAGCAATTATAAGTGACGGAGGAACTCACTTCGACAACAGGCAAATGGAATATGTGCTTGCTAGATGCAGAGTGAAACATAAGATTTCCATACCTTACCATCCACAAACAAGTGGACAAGTAGAAATTTCCAACCGTGAATTAAAGCATATACTGGAAAAGACGGTTGGAAGTTCCATAAGAGATTGGTCCAAAAAGCTTGATGATGCATTGTGGGCATACCGGACTGCGTTCAAAACTCCAATTGGGATATCTCCATTCCAGTTACTTTTTGGAAAAGCTTGCCACTTGCTAGTAGAATTGGAACTTAAAGCACTGTGGGCAATCAAGTACCTAAATTTTGACTCCAAGTCCACAGCTGAAAAGAGACTTCTTCAACTGGATGAACTGGATGAATTCAGACTCTCTGCATACGAAAGTGCAAGTCTTTTCAAGGAGAAGACGAAAAAGTGGCACGATAAGAAGATCCTACCTCGAGACTTCAAGGTAGGACAACAAGTGTTACTTTTCAACTCTCGTCTGTGTCTCTTTCTAGGGAAATTGAAGTCCAGATGGTCGGGACCGTTCATTGTGAAGGACATGAAATCATATGGAGTAGTGGAAATTAGTCCTCTGGATTCTGATAGAAGCTTCATAGTCAACAGCCAACGACTGAATTATATCTTGGAGGAGAAACCGACAGGGGAACAACCATCGTTGCCCTTGTAGAGGTAACATGAGATAGGTACGTCAGGCTTGTGACGTTAAACAAACACTAATGGATAGGCAAACCCATAATTTACTGTTTTATTTTAAATTTCATTTTATTTATTTTTGAATTCAATTAAAGAAAAAAATACAAAAAGATTGGAAAAGATGTGTTGAGACTAATGGTTATCATTGAATGAAGCTACAGGAAGAATATGGTACAAACAGCAAGGTATGCTATTTTTATGAGCTTTTGTGAAAAATAAAGCATTTTAGCGCTCTCTAGAGCCTTAAAACGCTCTAAGGCAGAGAAAATAGAAAATAGAGTATTTTATCGCGCTCCTGAGCGCTAAAACGCTCTCACATTAAAAAAATAAAATTGCATTGCCTCCTAACGTTTTAAAGCTCAACAGAGCGCTAAAACGCTCAGGAAAAGTTCAAGGGAGAGTTCGAAGAGCGCGTTTTAGCGCCCTTCTGCCCGCTAAAACGCGCTCATGAATGAAAAAACTTAAAAATCCACTGCCTCAGCGCGTTTTAACACGCTATAAGCACCCTAAAACGCGCTTCAACAAGCCGCCTAATTTTTTAAAAAGCATTTTTCTCCCTCTCTTTTTTGCATTCTCTCATATCTCACCCCTCACTCTCACTCTCATCTCTCTGAAATCTCTCCCTTCCTCAAGCATTCCTTCACGACATCATCCAAGGAATTCCAGGTGCTCTCTAGTCATTTATAAATTCTGCATTGCTGAGTTTAAAGAATTGATTCAAATGAGCATAGGGGTCCAAGTGGTATGCCAACTTTAGAATTCTTAGAACCTAGGGTTTCAAATTGGGACGGTTGAAATACTCAATGCAAGTGGTAAATGGTAGAAAAGATACTAAATTAAAATATTCCTTATGAACTGATCTGATTAACTGATTTGGAG